CAATCTTTCCCAGCATCAGGGTCTTCTCCAAAGAGATCTCTCTTCGCATTAGGTGACCAAAGTATCTGAGCTTGAGCTTCATTATCAATCCTTCCAATGAGCATAGTTATCCCTCCATTTTTCCCCCCAAAATCCCAATTTGCCTGGAAATAAGTTGAAACTGACCCAAATAAATGGGATCCACCATTTTTTATTCTGTAGTCCATAGAGCAGACACTTTGCAAATTGAAGTTGAAAGGTATGTTAAGAACATATGTTAACATATTCTTGTAAATAATAAAACAAAGAATATAAAGAAAAAAGAAAGATGGAAATGACAGAAAGAAAATGTATGGCCCACCACCAGCTTTGATCCTGCCCACCTATGGTTTCACACACAGAGACCTAATTTAGTGAAGGCTGCCTCTAGTAAGAAGACCCCTGGAAATTTTCCCTGTGGGAATGCAATCCTTGCATAAAAGAGTTTTTCCATCCCTTTTTAACTTCCATTTCACACATGATCACTATAGTCTAAGCAAGCAGGTGCTCTAATATCCCAGGTAACCTCAAGGAAGCGGTACATAGTCAACCTTGGTGGATCTTTAAAAATAAACAAGGCTGGAGCTAGCTAGTATTCAAGGCTGTAGGTCAGATTGGGAAGTCAGAAGAGACATGCTAAGAAGACAATGCCAAAACACTGGATATGTCCAGGAAGTCATCAGGTGTCGAGTTCAACTTGAAGGAGATGTGAGTTTACTCCTAATGATAAATGGAATGAAACATATTATTGTTTTGCAAATTCTGCTTCGAACTGGATGGACAGCATTCTTAATTAGCTTATAGGAACATCACAGCTACCTACCTAAAAATGAATCCAGAGGAAAATAAGGGTGCACGTGGAGGCCTGTGCAAATCAGAACAGCATCAAAGACAGCTGATTCCTGCTTCCCATTCACTTCTGTTACAATTTCCCACTGTCCAGTGATGGGGAAATCCGTGTGTTTCCTTAAATGGCAAACTCGAGCCTTAAGATAAAAAAGATAAAATCTTTTTTAAGATTTAGCTTTATGATGTTTTTAACAAAGCAGTGACAAGTGAAGCATGGGATAGAGTTGTTCTCTATGTTTGAAGAACAAGTCTGATCTAGAATATCTATAAATATACTTGCTTAATTCTCACTGCTGATATTTCTGTTTGGACTGCATCATTTCTATAATAGAGAATAGCTTTATGCACATACTCAAATGCATACATTCTTTATTCTATTAACAGTCATGGGCGTATACATCCCCACCACAATCACACTTCACAGTGCCAGTTTTTGTGAAGAGCAATGAGACTATAAATTCAAGAAGTTATTATCTGAAAGCATGGAACAACTGCAATGCTTTAGGCTGGAGTCAGGTGCCCCTTAGGAATCAAGCATATGTATATTTGGAGTGGTCTAATAAACCAAGAACTGAAAGTCAGTGGCATCTCTCCTATCAACTGCAAGGCCACTTGGTGACTCCTGAATGATGTGTAACCTTTAGCTGGCTTGATCAAGTCTGCTGGTTTGTACATATCAATAGATTAGTGGTTCTTAAACTGGGGTAATTACCTCAAGAGTTTGATTCGAGCATATCCTGGGGGTAATGGAGCAGTTTATAATTGCTTGTTTGTGAGTTGAGGATCCAGTTTGGGCTACCAAGATGCTTGTATAAAACAACAGAGTCTGGGTTTTGTTTTGTTCTTTAATAAATGACATTATTCGAGACCAGGAAAAAGTTAATTGGGTCAAACAGTTTAAGAACCACTTCTATAGATGCACTATGATGATGGTTTTAATGGTTACTTGTTAGTTATTAGTTAATCATGAATAATTACAAATGATTTCTTTGTAGTAAGTAGGTTTATAGCTAGATACAGGTGATTGTAGGTTTAGTCTTTTTTTCTTGGAAATAACAAAATCTGGGATAGGTTGACCAGAATTATCTAAGTCCGTGGACAGCAGGAGCTTGTTCAGACAGAAACCGATATCCGAGATGTTCCAAAGTTCTAAGAGAGTTAAGAAAAGTTTTTCTTTTTCTTTACTATATTCTTATTTTTCTTTCTTTTCTATTTCTCTTTCTCTTTCTCTTTCTCTTTTTTCCTTTTCCCCCCTTTTTTTCTGTACCTTCCATTCTTTATTCTTCTATCTTTTTTTAGTTTGTATTAATTTGTATTGTAATTATAATCTTTAATAAAATTACTATTAAAAAAACAAAATTCTAAGAGAGTTACAGGCAGCACCTTAATGAAGAATCTTGTTTTACTGTCTTGTGGGGAAGGGTAATTGGGGTAATTTTCATGGCAGAAACCGATTCTTAGAAAACAATATTTTTCTACAGTTTTATCTTCTTGAATAATTTTCACCATTACCCTTTGCTAATTCCATTTCTTATGACATAACCGGTTGAAGGGCTCCTTACACTGCATCTTGCATCTTGCAACTAGAGTTACTACCAAGATACCCATCCCCCCCAACAACATCTTGATTCTTAGCTTCTTACCTTGAAATGTATGTACCTAAGCAAGTCAAACTGCTTTGCGTACATCCTAAAGTACTCCATCATTTTACTATGATGCATGTAGTTTGGGTATTCCTCAGGAATAGGGAAATCACTGAAACTCATCATCTCCTTTGAACTATTTGTAGTCAACGATTTGTAAATGCTGCTGTGGCCTTCAGTGACATGTTCCTGCAAGAAAGTGTCAAGTAAATAAGAGGGGATTTACACAGAAGGTTTTCCAGATGTTTACCTTGAAGGCAGATTAATATGGCCACTGTTGACTATGAATTCTGGCTATAACTTCTTGTCCAATTTATATTTGTTTTCCTCAGGCCCCAATAGTACTTTGAAAACCTGTCTGACCATATACCATATAGCCATGTGAATTATTCATGGTTTATTCAGATTATTCATAAAATAATCCAATGAGGCTGCTGAAACCATGCTTTCTTTAAATTGTAAAATCAGAAGATTTGGGCTACAAAAAAGTTGTTTTCAAGAAAGGCTCTGAATCTTCCTTCTGACCTTCAGGCGGTTAAATATATATATATATATATAATTTATATATATATAAATATATAAATATATATATATATAAATGTAATGTTTAAAAAATGCACAGAATAAATACAGCTGAATACAAATAGTTGAACAGCCAAAAGCTCCCCAAATAAACAAGTCTTACATCATTACTTTTCATCTTACTGATGTTGCACTGATGGTCAAATGGTGGCTCAGCTATATCATGTCCAGATATCTCAAGACAGGCAGTTGTTTCTGACTTGCCCTCTACCTATTTTGTTCCCCTCCCATCTACAGACAGTAAATAGTGATTCATCAACCAGGAATCTCTTGATAGATAAAAGAGGAAGGGCCACCATTATCAGCAGAACCCAAAATAGGAGATTCTCTAAAAAAAAAAGTTCCTTGTTGAGAGAAGAAGGAACAATTGGTTGTTGAGGACAAGAAAGAAGTATTCTAGTGGGGCTAGTAGATGTGGTGGTAGTACAGTCGATATTGTCTATGTGAAAACCTACCTGGAATCTCCACAGTCCCCCTATATCTTCACTTCTCTCAAAACACGTTGGCTGAAGACCCTCATCCAAACAGCATTTAATGGCAGTAAGGCCACTGACCCCAGCTCCTATGATGGCTACCCTTTTTGCCATTCTGTCCTGCAACAGGGAAGGAACAAGCCATTATATTCTTCTTCCATAGATTCTTAAAAACTATATACAGTTGTGTGAAAAAGAAAATACACCCCCGTTGAGTTCTATGGTTTTACGTATCAGG